CTGTGCAAGAGATGACCGGCGCCCTTGCTCATACTCTGGTGTATGTGTTCCTTGAACTTTCCCTGGTTGTGCCTCTTCTTAGTTGTGCCTCAAGCCGAAGAGCAGGGTTGCAGTGTGGTGAGCGGTGTTGTGTCTCCCCCTGCTTCGTGTCCTACACACTGTTGTTGACACGTTCACTCGAAACACCATGCCCCTGTAGCATCATGCACACGTACACCTGGCTGGCACGAGCTGGGTTTCCCCACAGTGTGTCACTGCTGCCCTTACCCATTTTGAATTGTACTTTGCCCCCAACGTGTGTGTGTATGTTTATATATGCACACATATATACATATACACACACACATAGGTATGTATACGCACACACAACACAGGCCCAACTGCTTCTGCACAGTATGGTTTTTCTTTGAGGCTGTGGGTTTTCGGGGACTTGCTTAGTGTTCGCTCGGTGAAGGGCCTCGTGAGTACCTTCCCTATGTTGTCACACACGTTCCTCGCTCTTTTGTTGTGGCCATGGTCACATAGGAGTAGCACTGCCCACGGGGTGTCCAGAGTCTTGCTGGCACCGTGATTAAACACCAGCGGCTGAAGGCAAGGTGGCGGTTCAGCCCGCAGGCTGCCAGTGGAGAGCCTCAGCAGGCCGGCCCTCTGGAGGGCTGCTCATCTCCTCGGCAGTGGGCGCCCAGAAGACCCCTGTGACTGAGAAGTAGGAGGGAGCGGGCAGCTTTCATCTAGCGTCCACTCCTGTCTCCGTGTCCGCCCAGTGCTGGCCCCTCCGTTCCCACTCTCAGCGACCCTGAAGGACTGAGTAGAACGGCGTCTGGTGGGTGGCCGAGACTGAGTCTCCGTGGGGGTAGAAAGCCTCGCCGCCTGTCGTTCTTCCTCGAAGCGGCCGATGATTTCAAATGCTGACCTTGAGGTTAGCAGCCCATTGGGACACCACTGTGCCACGGGGGCGCATGTCACCTAGTTTACCAGAGCCAGGGCTTTGTTAGCTTAAAAAGGGGGGGATGGCACCCCTTCTTCACTCACTGCCTTCAGTGGAGTCCAATTCACAGTGACCCTGCACGGGGACGCCTGTGGGTTAGGTGTTGTCATTGCTGTTAACCACAAGGCCGGCGCTTCAAACCCACCAAACCCCCACGAGGGAGAAAATTGAAGCAGCCAGCCCCTGTAAGGGTTTACAGCCTCAGAGACCCCGCAGAGCAGTTCTGCCCTGCCCCATAGGGTCACTATGAGTCCGGGGTTGTCTCCCCCGCCACCACCCCCAACACACACACACACACACACACACACACACATTCTTTTTCCTTTTTGGTCGGTTTTGGAGATACTTGTGGTTGTCCCAGCTGGAGGGAGGGAGAGCATTCACTACTGACATCTAGTGGGAGGAGGCTGGCAGTGCGGTGGAGCACCCGGGCCCCCCCCAGTCCACAGTGCAGGATGTGGTGCAGGTCTTGGGGGGCCTCTGTGTTGATAACGAGGGTGTGCTTTCCCCCCAAGAGATGGCAGAACCAGCACGAACACTGGTCCTGTATTAGATTAGAAACCGTGTGCTTCCTTCCGTTTGAGGGGACCCTGCGGGGAAGCTGCCCCCGCCCTTTCTGGTGGGCGCCTGCCCGGTGATGGTGACAGAATAAACAGCATGCTGGGCACACCTTCCTGTTAGCAGGCTGCACGGGTGGCCACTCCAGAAACCCCAAGACATGGCAGACGGAGCTGTTGGCGATTAGCGTGGGAGTGGTGCCATCGGGGTTGTGGGGTGACCCCACGTGACAGAATGGGACTGTCCCCGAGGCCTTTCTGTGTTCTGAGTTAGTCTGCTTGCTGTACAAATAGAGCCCGGGGATAAAGAGCACACTCACGGTGGAATATACCATGCAGACAGGAAATGACGTAATAAAGCACACTTTTTCCAGTGGTGGGTGAGCAGCCCTTCCACCTCCCCACACAGGCCCAGGAGTCAACATGGGCACCACCTGCAAGCTCCCCAGGGTGCTGGGTGACCTGCTAATCACAGCTCCCCCCCCCCCCAAGGTGAATTTCCCCACCTTGAAGCTCATGGTACCTTCATTCCTTTTTATCTCACCAAAAAAAAAAGTGTTCAATATTGCTGCCCTTTATTCTCGTTCTCTGTATAAATCCAGTCTTGGAACGTCCAAGAGTGATGCTGTCAGCAAGTTTCATGCTGCTGCAACATTGTATGCAGTACATGGTTCTAAGGAGGAAAGTTACAAAAGCCAGGGCCTAATGCTAGCAGGTCCTTAGTGCTTATTTGTAGGTCTGGTGTGGCCTGTGGAAACAGGCACATGGCGGGGTGGGGTGGAAGATAGGGCTAGGGGGCTGGGGGAGCAAGCAATGTATGCTGGAGGGGACGGGGGCTCTAGAACAGATTGTGATTACATAACTCATTTAAAAGCGATTTCACCACGGGGGGGTTCTAAAATTGATGGGGCTAAATGATTGTACAGTTCTTCTAGATATGATTGAAATATTGAATCAATCGTCTGATAGGTGGATTATGGGCCCATGAAACTGTAAAAAACAAAACAAGCACATGAAGGTGCCGAATAATGACCTGTTTGGGAGTTGTCAGAAAGTGATCAGACAATCCTCTCCTCCACCCCCCCCAGCCCCCCACCTCCCAAATGCCCCCACAGGGTTTTCTGAGCTGTGATCTTGGCAGAAGCAGGCCAGCACATCAGGCTGTCTGTGTTGGGGCCAGCCAAGTACACTTGCTGGCCGTTCGATTCTGTTGAGCTACAGAAAGCGCGATGGTGTGAGGTCCGGGGATGGAGGCGGCTCTAGTTGTGCCAGTGTGAAGAGATGTTAAATAGGAAAACAAGCCAAGTGTGGTGCAGTCTGTATTGGTTGATACCATTCGGGAGTTCTGGAGGTGTAGTGGTTACATCCGGCTGCTAACTGCAAGGCCAGCAGTTCAAAACCACTAGCCACTCCGGGGGAGAAAGACGAGGCTTTTTACTCTGGTAAAGAGTTACTAGTCTTGGACCCACGGGTGGTGGTGGGGTAGTTCTACTGTTCTGTAGGGTCTATTATGATTCGGAATTGACTAGACAGCAGCGTGTCCATGTATCTTACATGTACTCTGCCAGCAACGGCATTCCCCTCTGGTGGTCGGGATCTCTGGGGAGGTTCTGCACCTCTCTGTGTGGTGGCGCTTTCTTTTTTCCTCGCAAGCACTTGTGCAGATCTGGGCTCTCTGAAAAGCAGGAGCCTTTTTTTCCCCTTTGATGAGAGCTGGGCATGGTTGTCCTCCGAGGTTTCCGTGCAAAAGAGGAGAGCAAGCCGGATTCCTCGAATGAGCCTCTGGCTGGTGTTGGGCAGCTTTCCAGAGTCAGTCTGCCTCACCAGCCCACAGTAGTTGTGATGTTCCCAGTGCTGGGTGGGCTTGGTCAGATGGGGTCTCGGAGGGGCCCAGTGTCTCGCTCTGGCCTCTGCCTCCCTGTGTGGGGGCGGGCGGGTCTTGGGGCCGTCCCGGCTTACCTGGTCATGTCTGCAGGCGTGGAGAAGGCTGTGGTGGCTCGGCCCTCGCTGGAGAGTCTGCTGGTGGCCAGCAGCCACCTGCTGCAGGAGGCGCTGGACGGCCCCTTTGTGGACCCGCTCAAGAGTCTGCGACTGCCCCGGGAGTTGGACCCCAACAGGAAGTACAGCTGGATGCACAAGAAGGAGGAGCGGGTGAGGGCCTGGTCTCGCCTTCCGCCCCGACTTCCCCGGCTCAGTGCCTCCATTTACCCAAGTGATAACCAGGGGCTTGAAGGCCACAGATCAGGCTCAGCCTGGGGGGTTCCGGGCCCTGTCTGGGATGGTGCTGGGCTTTCCAGTGTCGGCTAACTTAGCACTAGCCAGGTTGTTGCCTTGACGTGACTTGATACAGGGAGCCCCCTGGGCATAAAGTGGAGGGTGGTGGGCTTGGTCCCTCAGGGAAGGTTGGGGGTTCGTGTCTACCTAGTGGCATCTCGGGAGAAAGGCCTGGTGGTCTCCTTCCTAAAAAAGCCGCCATTGTGAACCGTGTGGGGGTGGCAGCTAGATTCTGAGGCGGCGGGGGGTGTCTCTGACCCCAAAACCTTTGCTCCTCACTGTGTGTTGGGCATGTCCCCAAGGTGGAGGGGCCCCTGGAGCGCCTTCATCTGGCCCTGCCCCTTCTGCAGATGTACGCCATGAAGTCCTCCCTGGAGAACATGGATGCCACGGAGTTGGACTTCCGGATGCGGCTGGCCGAGGTGCAGCGGCAGTACAAGGAGAAGCAGCGAGAGTTGGTGAAGCTGCAGCGGCGCCGGGACCCTGAGTGAGTGTGCCCCCCACGCCGGGCAGGCTAGGCAGTGCAGAGCGCCCTGACGTGTGCGTGTGTGTGTACTGGGTTCCACCCATACGCCTCCTCCGTGCCCCCCTCCTGCTCCCCACCCTGGTTCACAGCCAAGCCTGTGATTCTCTTTAAGGGACAGGCGTGAAGAACCCCATAGAAGCTTGGCACGCAGAGGCCCTGGCAGGCCGAGGAAACGGACCCACGCCCTCATCGCCCTGCAGCCCCCATGCAAGAGAGGGACGAGCCAAGGCAGTAGCGGAAAGTAAGGCTGGCCCCGCGGTGGGTCGGGGCTGCCCAGGGCTTGGAGGGGAGGAGACTGCCCCGGCCCCGGCGGCCCCCTTGTTCTTTCGGCTGGCCCGGGGGACCTGGGGTCCCTGGGGCTCGGCGGGCCTGGGCCCAGACCTTGAGCAAGGAATGGCAGAGGGACGCCAGGTGGACAGCGCGGGACGAAGGGCTGCGGCAGGACGTGGGTTGCTCCGCACCACAGCCGAAGCTGCATCCGAGTTGTCCTCCACGCTTCCCTGCAGCACCCGACGCCCGAACCACCTGCTTCCAGCTCTGTGGGCACAGGCTCCTTGGTGGGGCCTCCCGGAGGGTTTCCTGGATGCTGCTGGGCCCTGGACCGATGGGGGAGATGCTTTGATCCGCCCTGGCTTTAGGGTCATGCTGGCCGAATGAAGCCCCAGCAGAACAGGGCTGGGATGGCACGATGGCCCAGTGCTTGGCCTGAGGAAGCAGAGGAGCCCCGGGCGGCCTTCCGAAGGCTTTGGGCGGCCTCGGCATGGCTCGGGGAATCCCACGAGAAAATGGCCCCTGATCCCACCTGGATGTTCCTGAGAAGAGAGCAAGAACACTGTCTCATCGGCCATAGCCATCCACGGGGAGGGACCGGCTCCTAGAAGAGCAGAGAGAGACGGCAGCTGGCAGTGTGGGCCTCGAGGAGAGCCGGGCGAGCAGATCTGCTGCATCGTAGATGATGACCTTGACCCCATGCCCTTGTCCATAAAATGCAGTGTCACCGGGTGGGCCGAAGCACAAAGCCCCCGTGCAGCACAGGGCACACACTGTTGGGGGTGCTGCGGAGTCATCAGCAACTAGTGACTCTACGGGACAGAGCAGAACTGCCCTGGAGGGTGTCTTAGGCTGGCGATATCCTGGACACAAATTGCCCGGGCTCGCCACCAGTCTCTGGGTGGGTTTTGACTTTCTACCTATCCATTAGCAGCCAAGCTCGTGATCGCTACAGTGCCTGGCCTCTTTAGAAGACACGTGTTGGGCAGCTGATAAAAATGAGCTGCTTTTGTTGTTATACGTGAAGCTTTAGGGCTAGACAGGTACAGGTTAGACCAGGTGTCTCTGCAGCCTTAATCCCTTACCCTCTCTCCTCCTTTGGTGGATTTCCTTGGTGTTGCTGGTCCTTGTTCATGGTGCGCTTTGGTCAAGAGGTTCCTGACCGTGCAGGGGTGTGTGTGTGTGTGTGAGTGTGTGAAATGAGGGTGGCCGAGGGTGTCGATAAGTTGTTCACACAAAGCTCTCCTGCCTCCCTTGCAAATGTCCTGGATTGTCCCCATCCTCCCTGCGTGTGCTGCGGCATCCAGTGCCTAGGCTGCCAGGGTGGCCCCCGAGCCTGCCTGTGACCGCCTGTATCTGTGACCGGCCAGGCTGCTCACTGGTGGTGCATCTGGGTTTCAGGCTGAGCAGCAAGTCCCTGCTGACATCCGAGGACTTCGAGCTGGGAGCAGGGATGAGGAAAAGACACAAGGGGGCGGAGGAGGAACACGGCACCCTTGTTGGAATTGGGAAAGCCCGGGGCCGGAGCCAGATGTGGGACGAACAAGACGGCTCTTCCGACTTCATGAGCCAGGTCAGTGACCCAGTCTCCCCGTGTGGTGAGATCTGCCAGGCTGGTTGGCCTGGTGGCCTGCCTCCCTCCTGCCTGACGCCCCTACTGCAGAACAGGGATTCTAGAAATGATTGTCAGAATGTCATGGGTCCCATCTTCCTGATTGTAATGCCACCACCAAACGCTGTCAAGCTGGTTCCAGCTCATGGTGACCCCAAGGGTCCCAACTGCTCGTTGGGTTTTTTGTTTTTTTCTTTAAAAAAAATCATTTTATTGGGGGCTCATACAACTGTTATCCCAATCCATACACACATCAATTGTGTAAAGCGCATTTGTACATCGTTTCTCAAAACATTTTCTCTCCATTTAAACCCCCGACATTAGGTCCTCATTTTTCCCCTCCCTCCCCGCTCCCCCCTCCCGCATGAGCCCTTGATAGTTTATAAATGGGTATTTTGTCATATCTTGCCCTGTCCGACGTCTCCCTTCATCCACTTTTTGGTTGTCTGTCCCCCAGGGAGGAGGTCGCACACAGTTCCATGTAATCGGTTCCCTCTTTCCTACCCATTCTCCCTTTACCCTCCCTGTTTTGCCACTCATACCACTGGTCCTATAGGGCTCATCCGTTCATTGGGGTTTTTGTAACAAAACTGCCAGGTCTCACTGGGTGGGTTTCAACTGTCAACTTTGTTAGTGGAGTGTCAACTATTGGTGCCATGTATGGGGCTTTTATGACCGTACCCTTAATCCCCTGCCATTGAGTTGTTACTGCAGAGAGCGGGGAGATTCAGGCCCAGAGGGGGTCAGGGACTTTCTAAAGAGTCCTGTGACTGTCCTGTGGCACATGTATGAAGACCAAGCCTTGTTTTCTAACTTCGTGTTGTGAGCTGGATGAAGGTTTACAGAGCACATCAATTCTCCATCCAATAGTTCCCTCATTTTGTGTCATCTCATTGTATTATCACTCAGCCCACCTCCTCCCTGCTTCTCATTTTCATCCCCCCTCTTTTCCTGGCCCTCCTGTCCTGGGTAAATGCTGCGGTTTCATCTCAAATGGCTGGTGATTCTGTGTGTGCCTCACTAGTGTTATCATTCAGCAAATAGACCTGTCTGGCTGGAAACTCAGCCTTAGGGGTGACTAAGGGCCATAGTCTCAGGGTCCCACCAGTCTATCCAACCGGTAATCCCGATCTTTTTTATGATTTTGAGTTTTGCTCCCCATCTGATGTCCATTCTATCCAGGACGTTCTAATGGGCTCCCTTTCAGAAGAGTTGGCAGTGATAGCTGGGCACCATCTAGTTCTTCTTGTCTCGGTGTGGTGAAAGGCTGTTGTTCGAGTGGCCCTTTAGTCCAGTGGACAAACGGTTCCCATGCATCACGTTTTTCACCACTCTTCGTTTCTTGGGACGTGGAGAGGATCAGTAAGGTTGCACCTTAGATGAGACTGTACATTCTTGACCTAACCTGTGGTGCCTGTTGTTGAGCAGCCTTGCTGTTTCAGAACCAGCTCGACCATTCTGCAGCTCCAAAGAACAAGGACTGATGCGACTACTGATCTGTAAATGTTCCAGGGTTTCTTGTTTCTGCCGAGCATCAGAATCCTCCACTCAAGTTCCTCAACTCTAAATACTTGTCATTCCTTGCCAGGCAGCCTTGTGTGGAGGGAGGGGCTTTTGGGGATCTGGCCATCAGGAGTACTCACATAAGGAGGCCAGGTGCAGGATGGGGAAGAGACAGCCAGTTCATACCTCCAGATCCGCTTTGCACTCCAGCGGTGAAGGGTACTTGTGTTGTTCAAATGATGCTTGCTCAGCTTGTCTCTTGCAGAGTGCCACCCGAACAAAAGGAAATAGATAAAACCTTCAAATGAGGGACATTCACAGCTCTGAAATGGCACATCTTCTCCCAAATGACTAGCTTTGGTGAGAGTGGTACAAGCAGGAATTTAATCTGAGAGATCTCCCATCATCTCTGCTGCTGCGGGCAGCCACGGTGCATGCAAGGAGGCACATTCTTTGCAGCTTCTGCCCGATTAGTTGGACAGGCTCATGGAAACGGTGCAGCTGCCATCTTCCCTGGTGCAGACGAAACAATCCGCCCTGCTGTAATCTTGACTTTTCCATCTTGGTGCCCTTCCTCCTCCCCAAATCCAGCTGCCTTCTCCAGCTCAAGGTGAGCTCTGCTTGCCTAAGAGATTCCCTCGAAGGCGCCAGAAAACCAGGGTGGAAGGGCCAGTGCCACCACTGGGGACATGGTTAGCTTGTCACCAGGCCTTATCTCCATCCATCTTCAGCTGCCCACGTAGAACACTCCCTGTTCTGCAGTTTTAGAGGCGAAGATAAGAGAAGCCCCTTTACAAAAGTCAGTCGGTGTCGAAGGGCAGCCACCCAGGTCCATCCCTGTGGGCTCTCAAGCCCCGCTATCGTTTTTTGCCACGTCTTTTTTTTTTTTTTTTTAACTTTTTAATTGTGATTTGAGTGCAAGCTTACAGGGCAAGTTGGGTTTCCCTTCTAACAATTCGCAACTCATTTTGCTTCACGTGGACCGCAGGCCCCACCCACTCTTCCCTGTGCATTCCCTTCCTCATCGGTTCCCATCCCTTCCTGCCTTCTGGACTTTCTCTATGGGCAAACATCACCCTTTTGATTCTTAAAGGTTGATCATTCTCATTGCCACGTGGCTTAACCCAAGGCCCCATTTCTTCTCCAGCTGAAGATTAAGAAGAAGAAGATGGCCAGCGACCAGGAGCAACTGGCAAGCAAGCTAGACAAGGCCCTGTCCCTCACCAAGCAGGACAAGTTGAAGTCGTCGACCTTCAAGTTTTCGGACAGTGTTGGGGGGAAATCGAAAACTGGCGGGGGCTGCAACAGGTACTTGACTCCGTATGACAGCCTGCTCAGCAAGGACAGAAAGGCCTTGGCCAAAGGCCTCAGCCTGTCTCTGAAAGCCTCCCGGGAAGGTAAACACAAAAGGGCAGCCAAAGCCAGGAAGATGGAGGTGGGGTTCAAGGCCAGAGGCGCGCCCAAGTCGGGCCACTCCCCGTTCACCTCGGAAGTGAGCAGCTACTCCTACAGTAAGTAGCAGCCGGGCGCTGCGCTGCGCTGCCTCCGGGCCATTTCTTCTCTCCCTTTCTCTTTCTCGCTCCCTCTCACCTCTTGATCGGAGGCAGTCGAAGGCTTTCTGTTTCCACGTGTCAGTCTCTGTTCCAAGCAGGAAGTGGAGGGGACGGGCGCTGGAAGCGGAAGTGCCTGTGATGGGCGGGCTCTGGTGATAGGGAGGCGGCTGTGATTGGTGGATTTGGGCCGGGCGGCCCCTGATTGGTCTGTGGAAGCGGAAGCTGCCTGGCCGCTCTTGCCCTCCTCGTTGGGAGGGAACTGTGTGGATGACTTGAGAGCCACCGAGTTTGCGGCCGCTTGGGCTAGAGGGGCCGTGGAGACGACTGACCGGGCCTGCCCTCAGGAAACGCCCCTGCTCGGCACCAAACGTGTGTGTGCGTAAAAGTGGCGCGGGCCGGGCAAGGGACCAAGCAGCACTGTGCCTTCTGAGTAGGGAGAGTGGGAATCGGTCTTGAATCTCCGTTGAGTGTCCGCTTGAACTTCCTAGAAACGTCCCACGTGTTACCCAATATGGCGGCCGCCAGCCACGCCTGGTTATTGCCCATTCGGAAGATGGCCCGCGCCTGCGCCTCGGGAGTTGCGGTGGTTTGGATGGGTTTTCACGTGAAGCCGCAGTGTCGGGCTCATTCACCAAGAGCCCCGCGGAGTTTGTGAGCCAGGGTCTTGCACACCGGTGGCCTCCCTGTGGGCGCGGGTGTGGCGTGAGGGTCAGGCGTGGCCGCTGGAGCGCGATAGGGCCTGAGGGCGTTGCGGTCAGGGGCAGACCCTTGGGTCGTGCTGGATCTGCACTCCGGCCGCCCTGGGCGCCTGCTGGGCGCCTGCCTGCTTCTGTGTCTTGAGCTCAGCTGCCGTTGGCGGACTCACTGGACAGTCTGAATGTCCGGGGTGCATGCCCCCGTTTGAGTAAAACGTGTTCTTTCCGCCCTCCTGGCGTGGATCCGTACCTGCCTGGCAGGGCTCATGGAGCTCACGTGGGTCAGCCCGACGAGGGAGGGCAAGGTGACCTGTGGGAGTTTCCATTGTGCTTGCTCAGGCTGCTGCGACGACGTCGGGTCTGTGCGTCCGAGGCGCAGAGGGCCTGGCGTGAGCCGAGCACGTCTGCTGTGTGTGGAGCCAGCGTGCTGTGGGCATGGAGGTCGGCTGGCTCCCGTGCCCTCAGGTTCATCTGGCCTCGCTGCTCTGAAGGAGTGGAGAGAGAGAGAGGGCCATCCTTTGCCCTTCCCGCCTGAGCTGGTCGGGTGGGGTGGGGAAGAGATGCTGCTCCTGCGATCCTCCCCGGTCGCATGACCTGTGAGTGTGCCCTGGCTGCTTGCTGGGGAACCCCACTTCCCCACTCCCTGTGGGGGTCACACGGTGGGGGTGGCTGGAAGTCAGAGATGAACCTCATGCCTGAGGTCGTCTTTGGGGTGCTCTGAGGCTGGGGTGTGTGCGTGTGTGTGTGTGTGTATGTACACACGTGTTCACGGTTGCTGGTGTAACCTGGTTCTGTCTTTATCCAAAACACGTGTTGGTTTAGGCAAGAGAACCAGTGCCCTCGGTCAATTCTAACTCCCGGTGAGTCCATTTATGTCAGAATAGAGCTGGTATCCAGTAGGGTGTTCAGTACTGTGACCACGTGGAAACATCTCCGTTCTTTCACCCTGGGCCTATTCGAAGCACCAACCTTTGGGCGTAGCTGAGCTTAATCTTTGACTTCTTGGGCGAGAGGAATGGGTACAGAATGGGTGCAGCCAGGAAGTCAGAAGGTGTCTCCAACTGGAGGGTGCCCGTGGCCTGGCTGTGGCGAGAGCCCCTGCCTATGTTTCAATTAAAGGAAGGCCTTTAAAAACATTATTAATAGATCATTTTATTGGGGGCTCTTACAGCTCTTAGGACAAACGCATACATAAAGTGTCTCAAAACAAGAAGGCCTTTTAAAACTTGCACTTTCGCAAACGAGACTGCGAGACTCCAGAGATGTGCATGGCGGGAAGAAGGGCTGTGCTTTTGGCAGATGGGGGATTCGAGAACAGCACCTTCCACTTGTAGTTTTGGGTTCAAGAGGTCAGGGGGCATGCCTGGGGGAAAGTCGGCCTGGTGGTTGCCGCCCATAGGAGTCCCCTACTCTATAACGTGACTTTGACGAGGACAGAAATGGC